AGCCCGGGGCCCCCGCCGCGCCCCCCCCCCCCCCCCCGCCGCTGGTCGCTGCTTCCGCTCGTGGGGAGCCCTCGGAGGGCAGCGTCCTGGGCAGCGCTCGCTTTGTTCGCTTCGGCCTTGGCGTCTCCGCGTTTTGTTTGTCTACCCGGATACTGCGCTCCCGACAGCTGCCCCCTCCTCCGTGCACCCCCGGGGGCCGGGCCCCGAGCGTTCATGTCCGCACGGAGCGACCTGCAGGTCGGTGCGAGGGGGAGCAGGGAGCGAGGCCCTAAGCGGCAGGGAAAACGTTCAGTGAAGGGCTCCGGTGTGAATCGCTTAGAAATGAGGCTCCTGTGAAGGCAACTCGGAGCGGCTGCCTGGGAGCGCAGGAGGAACCTTTCTCCCCTCCGTCTTTCTCCTCTTCAGTCACCCCCAGCCCCGCAGCACGGTCCCATGGGCAGCGCTGGCCGCAGGGCGCCGGGCTCGCTCCCGGCAGCTGCCGGCCTCTGAAATAGAGAAGTGCTCGCTAACATGCAGCTGAATTCAACAAGCGAAAAAAAACATTAAAGACGTTACCAACCAGATGTCTGAATGACATCTTAAAAATGAACAATAACCAAACATTTTTTTCTTTAAAGCCACAATCCAGGAATTTTTCTGTGTGTTTCACACTCTTCCTAACAAGCCTCACATACATGCTGCTTACAGTAGGTTAGACTGTATTTGTAAAGTGGATGAATAAATACTGAAAGTTATGAAGCTATATTTTTAAATTAAATGTGTTAAGATTTCAAATGTTACTTATACACTGGAAGAGTAGTGGTTATGGTACTTGCCAATTGCTATATTTTTAGTATTTTGTGTACTTCAAACATGTTTACCTTTTAAAAATTATTGATATCCTTTTAAATTTGTACCGTTGTTCATGTAATTTCATTCCTGAACATAATTTACAGAATTTAGACAACATTTCCAGAATATTTCTTGGCAGAATATATTCCCTAAATTCCAGTGAAAACATGATTGAGATATTCATGTACGAAGTTACAGGTATCCAAAAAAAGTACAAGTCTTTTCTATGATTATAATTATCACTGTGAATTCCACTTTCATTCAAACTGTTATTTTAAACAAACAAAAGTGAAAGAACTGCCATTCAAATATATATGACACGAGCAGGCAAAACTAGCTTTAATTTAGATTATGTTCACTTTCTGACTGAACAGAATGAACTAAAACTCTTTATAGACTAACTAGAAGGTTTGTCACTGGTGGACCTGCCAGGCTAGTGCCTAACATCATTACCATTTGGCTTCACAAAGTCTGCTTTGTTCTTTATACCTGAAAATTTGTGTCTAGATACGTTTCCTGAGGCAGTTATAAACAACCTTCTGAAGACTGGAGGAAGCCTAAAGGAATTACATGAAATCTTTTAGTGTGTCAAAATCACCATTTCTTCATAACTCTTCCTAAGTGCAGGGTGAGCATCCTATAATAACTTTTCCCTCTAACTGTATAACCAGTGGGAGACTTGGAAAATCATCTTCCAAAGTGTCCTGGTAGAAATGGGTGATGCAGAGGCTGAGACCAGTACCTTACAGATTAATTAGCTGCAAACCCCTTTCCCGAAAGTGTGGAACACATTGGATATAATTTAATATCATGCTTTCCGGAAGGCTGCCTTGCCTGTATGTTGCTACAAGTGGCCAGACATGTTTCCCAACTGTTTCTGCTAGTGACATAGTCAGTTCTCTCATGGACCAGAGGGTTTTCTTAGACAAAAATAATTAAAGCGGAAAGAAAATTTTGCTGCTGAGTATAATCCGCAATGAAGTTGCTTTTACTGTTGATTGGAGACAATAATTATTATTTGGATCAAAGTTTAGGATCTAATCCCCAGATTATCCCCAGATCATAAGCGCTACATTTTGCTCATGAGTTTGGACTCATAGTACTAGGAGTTAAATGAGAAAGGAAATCTTTGCAAAACTCTGCTTCATTTAAAAAAAAAAAACTGTAGCTTTTCAAGTGTGCTTTAATTAGGACAGTCACCCTCATTAAACTATGAGGAAATTGCAATTGTTTGTTGCAGTAAGGCAACACCTCACCATGACTGCACAAGAAAGTAAATAATTAGTAAAAAAATCATCACATATATCCAGCTGCAAATTTTCTTGAGAGCTTATATGGCAATTTAAATCCATATCGGTATCTGCTACAACTGTAATAATAATAATAATATGCAAAATAATAATAATATGCAAACTAAAGTCACATAAGATCTTTTTAATAGAGTACATTATTGCTAACATTGCAAACAAAGAAAAGGTGAAATGGGATAGAAAAGCCTTTCATCTTACTTTTTAACTATGCAATTCCAAGGCTTTTGATATATAGACTGACATTGAGTTATCCTTAAACGTGTGATCTATAACATTTGAGGGAGCTTGGGTGGAGAATTTTTTTGCATCACAAGTTCTTTAGGATGTGAAGGTGTATTGGAACACAGTGACACAGCTAAGGTGCCCTATGGTATGGATTTCCTCTTTACTACTGTTTATTGTATATGCAAATGAGAGAAAGCTCATTTATTTAAACTTGCTTTGCTACATTCCTTCATCCAGTAGGATTTGCTTGAAAGCCACGAGTCTTTAATACCAGTAGATTTGCCAGTGCTCTTATATAATCCGTCTGACTTATAGGACGTTTACATTTGAGGTCTCATCAGTGTGATGGCAGCACAGCGTTCACAAATGGTACAACCACTAGTAGCTGTGAACAAAAATAGGAAATGCTAAGCAGTGGACCTAAGTATTACAGAGGGTGAAACTCCAGTTACCGAGGTGAGCAGAGTAGTGAGTGAAATAAGAGCTGTTTGGAATGAAATTCTGAAGAAAATAATGAATTTCTGGTCAGCTGACAAGAATAATTTGGAGAAATGTGCTGGGCTTACCTCCACACTCAGAAGGGCAGGGACCTCTCCTGTGGTACCAATTCTAATTTCCACATAGAGGAGTTTGTTCACAGAGAAATCCCACTCCTGGATCCAGATACCCCCACCTCCATGGGCTTTCTCTGGAATTCCAGTGCTTTGATCTAGAAATGCATGCTTGCAGCCGAGAAAGCCCGTCATATCCTGGGCTGCATAAAAAGCAGCATGGCCAGAAGGCTGAGGGAGGTGATTCTCCCCTTCTGTTCTGCTCTCGTGAGACCCAACCTGGAGCACTGCATCCAGCCCCTGGGTCCCCAGCACCAGGAGGACACGGAGCTGTTAGAGCACGTCCAGAGGAGGACGAATGAAATGATCGGACCAGAGGAGGGCGAGAGAAATGATCAGAGGGCTGGAACACCTCTCCCATGAAGAAGGGCTGAGAGAGTTGGGGTTGTTCAGCCTGGGGAAGAGAAGGCTCTGGGGAGACCTTATGGCAGCCTTTCAATATAGAAAGATGGAGAGAGACTTTTTACCATGGCCTGTAGTGACAGGACAAGGGGCAACGGTTTTAAACTAAAAGAGGGTAGACTTAGATTGGACATGAGGAAGAAATGTTTTGCAACGAGGGTGGTGGGACACTGGAGCAGGTTGCCCAGAGAAGTTGTGGATGCCCCATCCCTGGAAGGGTTCAAAGTCAGGCTGGACGGGGCTTTGAGCAACCTGATCTAGTGGAAGATGTCCCTGCCTGCAGCAGGGGCTTGGACCAGATGATCTTTGAAGGTGCCTTCCAACCCAAACCATTCTATGATTGCTATCTTCTGACACACACATATGCAGGGATCTGTTCTGGAAACTAAATACAGAAGACTTGTGCATGTTAAAACACAGTTTTTATATCATTGTAGCTCTTCAAAAAGAGAAGTATAAGTGCCAGGAGATATGTAGCTGCAGCTAATGAGGATCAATAAAACAGCATAATGAAAACATGACAGCTGTAAAGTTATCCACTTGCAAATGAAACCCTTAGGTAAAGATACTGTCACTGTATCAGAATAGTCTTGTCCTCCAGACAGCTCTCTTCCTTTACATTTGTCTCCACAAACCATCCCTAATGTCCCACTTTTGCCATGATACAGTCCTACCTAAAAAGCCTCTCTGCTACAGCTTGGGGGTGGGGAGACACAGGGGGTAGTATCTTGCTATAGGTGGTATTTTCCTTTCTCTAGGCTCAGAGCATTCCTCCTTCTCCCTAAGGGATGGGGAGGGCAGAGGTGCTGCACAGGTGGGAGCTATGGCCCCAGGCAGTGTGCTGCAGACCATCAGGTACAGCCTCTGGGAGCATCCTAGGAAGAGGAGTCAGCTAGTCAGTTTTCTCATAATTTATAACAATGAATCTAAAGAGCTTTAACATGGTGCTGTTGGGTGGTACTTGTGCCAGCAACGTAGAAGATTAATTCAAGAGATATTGCCCACTGTTAACTGATGTAACAGGAGGAATAGCTATGCACAGTAAGGGAATTTAATAGTGGCAAGTCTGAAAATCCCACTTAAACCAGGAACATACCAGCACTACAAGGAGTTTCTTCTGAATGGAAGGATGCTACCTTGTTGCTTTAAAATGCAGGTCTGATAGTTAAGGCTCTAGATCAAAATGAGACATTTCTCCTAAAGCATTTCTCATTTTATTTCTAAATAAAGTTAACTCACAGAGAAGCTTTACATCTTTTAAAGAACAAGGGCCTACAAAGAAAGCCTGTCTTCGTTCTTAGATGTAGTTACATGGCTTTGGGATGGTCTCCTACTTATTTTCATGCTGAATATATTTTTCCATTCCCCCCTCGGTCATTTAGCCACCCCCCCATATTTCACACCATAAATAGCCTGTAAAGCCATTAAAGTTGAACAGGTTCAACATTAAGAACAAGTAGTTTACCAATCCCGTTACGATAAAGACACAAAAGAATCAATAAATCACTACAAATGCAATTAGTGTTCTTTCATTAAAAAGGGTGAGTGAGAAAGTAAATGCGTTACCCTTCTCAGCCAAAAACCGTAAGTTTTAAAACATTGCCACAGAGCATGGGTCTAGCTCCCCAACACAAGCAGCAGATAAACAATTAGCACCAAAGCACTTCTGCAAAAAAAGCAACACAACTCTTTTTCTGACTGTGTGGGTGGCTCTGAAAAGAGCCTTTGGGTTATAATGTTACGCTGTAAAAAATCTGAGCAGCTTTGCTGACTGAATTCATTTGCTTTTAGCCTTATGACTCTCAGTCTTCTTGGGCAGCAGCACGGCCTGGATGTTGGGCAGCACCCCGCCCTGCGCGATCGTCACCTTGCCCAGCAGCTTGTTGAGCTCCTCGTCGTTGCGGATGGCCAGCTGCAGGTGGCGGGGGATGATGCGCGTCTTCTTGTTGTCGCGGGCCGCGTTGCCCGCCAGCTCCAGGATCTCGGCCGTCAGGTACTCCAGCACGGCCGCCAGGTACACCGGGGCGCCGGCGCCCACCCGCTCCC